CTTTCCCTCATGCATCGCTCTCCTTTACCAATCAAGAAGCCCGTGAAGCTTCTGTGTCCAGAGGCTTTATTGACGTCATTTCCTAGTTATTATTGATTGGATCACCTTCCTTCCTTCCCCTGAGGTCAGCTGATAACAGGCCACAGGATGGTCTTTCTAGTTAAGCCAGTTCCTACCCATTTGCACAAACCCCCAGGTGTGGTCTAAAGGTCTGTGTAATAAACTCACTGCCATTGAGTCAATTCTGATTCATAATGACCCTTATTGGGTTTCTGAGGCTGTCAATCTGTATAGAAGTAGGTTGTTCCATCTTCCTTTCATAGACCGGCTGGTGGGTTTAAACCACTGACCTTCTGGTTAGTAGCCAAATGCCTTACCAACTACACCACCAGAGCTCCTTTATACAAATCCATGAGCATTGATAATTGATCCTAGATAAATGAAATAATGAATAAGGAAGACTGAAGAAAAATTGATATATTTCGATTGTGGCCTTGGTGAAGAATATTGAAAATACTTTGGACTTCCAGAAGAACAAACCAATCTGTCTTGGAAGAAGTATAGTCAGAATGTTCCTTAGTAGCAAGAATGGCCAGACTTTGTCTCTCAGCCTTTGATCACATTATCAGAAGGAACCAGTCTCCAGAGAAGAATGTTCAGCAGATTCTAAGGGTTTAGAGTTATGTCTCAAGAACCCAGGATAAAGGCCAAATTACTTGGAAGCAGAGTAATTCTGCAGTCATGGGCTCCAGCAGAGCAAGGATTGAAAGGATGGCCAGGATGAGGCAGTGTTTCCTGCTGTTGCACACAGGGTCATTATGACTTGGAGCCTACTTGACAGCACCTAACAACAACAAGAAAGTAATTCTTTACACCACGCTCGTTGAAGTTTAAATTACATTCATGATAGTAGGTTAATGTTATCCAACAATTTATGACTTTAAGATAGAAATAAAGCTAAAGGCAGCTTTCTTTTAAAAATTGTATTTTGTGAGTAAAATGAAATTATTACTTTTGTTAGGTGCTGTTGAGTTGCTTCCGACGCATAGCAACTCTGCACAACAGAACGAAACACTGCCCTGTCCTGCGCCAGCCTCAATCCTTGCTGTGCTGGAGCCCACCGTTACAGCCACTGTGCCACCCCGTCTCACTGAGGGCCTTCCCCTTTCACGCCGACCTTCTACGTTACCAAGCATGATCTTTTTCCCCAAGGACTGGTCTCTTCTGACAGCATCACCAAAGTATGAGAGACCAAGTCTGGCCATTCTGCCTCTTTGGAGCATTCTGGCTGTACTTCTTCCAAGACAGATTTGTTCATTCTTCTGACAGTTCATGGTATTTTCATTATTTTTTTTTTGCCAACTCCACAGTTCAAAGGCATCAATTCTTTTGCAGTCTTCCTTAGTCATTGTCCAGTGTTCACATGCATAGGAGGCTTTTGAAAATGCCATGGCTTGAGTCAGGTACACCTTAGTCTTCAAATCGACATCTTTGCTGTTTAACACTTTAAAGAGGTCTTTTATAGCATATTTTTCCAATGCAATACATCCTTCGATCTGACTGCTCCTGTCATCTGCATATTGCAGGTTCTTAATGATTCTTCCTGCAAGGAGCTTAACTTTCAAACAGAGTGCAGGGTCTGTACTACCAAAACCAACCAAACCAAACTCACTGCCATTGAGTGGATCCAACTCATAGCAACCCACCTTTGGGTTTCTGAGATAGTATCACTATGGAAGTAGATTGCCCAACCTTCCTTTCAAGGACTGGCTGATGGGT